AGCCCCCCCCCCCTCGCCGCCGGCAAACGATTCCCGCTCCTCGGGACAGTGGGACAGTGGTGGGGACACTGAGAGAGTGGTGAGGAAGGTGGTGGGGCCAGTGGGACAGTGGTGGGTGGTGGGAACGGTGGTGGTGGAAACAGAGGTGAGGGGACAGCGGAACAGTGGTGGGGACACCGGGGACATCGGGACAGTGGTGGGGGCGGTATTGGCGGGGACAGTGGTGAAGGCAGTGGTGAAGACGGTGGTGGGGACAGTGGTACATTGGGGAGAGTGGTGGGGACGGTGGGACAGTGGTGGGGACAGTGGGGACAGTGGGACAGCACAGTGGGACAGCGGCGGGCACAGTGGGACCGTGGTGGGACAATGGCGGGAACAGTGGGGACAGTGAGACACTGGTGGGGGCACTGGTGGGGACAGCGGGGACAATGGTGGGAACAGCGGCGACACTGAGACAGTGTTGGGGACAGTGGGAAAGTGGTGGCGACGGCGGTGGTGGGGACAGTGGTGTGGGGACAGCGGGACACTGGTGAGGACAGTGGGAGCAGTGAGGCAGTGGTGGGGACGGTGGTGGTGGAGACAGTGGTGATGACGGTGGTGGGACAATGGGACAGGGGTGCAGCGGGGGCAATGGTCGGAACAGTGGGGGCAGTGGTGGGAACAGTAGGACAGCTCAGTGGGACAGCGGCGGGGACAGTGGGACAGTGGGGACAGTGGGGACGGTGGTGGGAAAAGTGGGGACAGTGGTGGTGGGGACGGTGGTGCTTGGGACAGCGGTGGGGATTAGGTGCGGACGGTGGGGGCCCGGAAGTCGTTTGCCGGCGGTGAGGGGCGGGGGCTCGAACCGGGTAGTGACCCACCCCGGTTTTCTGAAGGGGGGGGTTCGAACCTGTAGTGACCCCCCCCAGTTTTCCAGAGGGGGGGGGGAGGGGTTAGGGGGGGGGGTGTTTTGCCCGGGGAAGGGGTGGGGGAGGGTGGGGGTCCAGCAGGGGAGGTGGGATTTTCGAAGGGGGGGACCCCAGGGCTCTGGAGGAAGAGGGGGAAGTGTTCCACTGGAAAACGGCGGTGGATCAGGCTCTCATCATCATCATCATCATTATCATCATCATCATCATCACCATCATCATCATCAGCAGCAGCAGCATCATCATCAACATCATCAGCATCAGCATCATCATCACCAGCATCATGGTCATCATCATCACCATCATCAGCATCATCATTATCACCATCACCACCATCATCACCATGACAATCACCATGACCATCACCATCACCATCACCATCAAAAGGTGCTTATACACTACCACCACCACCACCACCACCTTGCTTGGCCAAGGCCGGGGCACGGCGGACGGTGTGAACGTGTCGTCTGCGGATCCTCACCGTCTACCTTTCTTCTCCTCGCCATCGGCCTGGCCCCAGATACGCCCAAGGGAGACTCGGAGACTTCAAGGAGTGCTCAGAAGAGGGTCCCAAGATGGCTCCGAAACGGCCCAGGACGGCCCAGGCCCCCCAAACGGCCACACAGTGCCTCCAGAGGGGCCCATGATGGCCCAACAGAGCCCCGATTCTGCGCAAGACGGCCCTGATGGGGGCACCAAGAGGCATCCAAGACGAGAAAGATGAGGCACCAAGAGGCCTCCCAAATGTCCGTCGAAACCACCCCAAAGCATGAAGGGACCGCACCGAACCGAGAACCGAGAACCGTGACCGAACCGGACCGAACCGGTCCAAAACCAAGAACGTAGAAAACCGAACCGGACCGAACCGAATTCATTCAGAACCGAACCGGCGAGGACCGAACCGAACCAGAACCGGAACCGAACCGGAACCGGGCGGCCCCTGAACCGAACCGACGGGAACCGAACCGAACCCCTTTCCCCTCTGGTCCGGACCCCAGGGCCCCGATGACCCCCAGGACTTCGGGACCCCGATGACCCCAGAACCTCCCGAAGATTCCCACGACCCCTCCTCCTCTTCCTCCTTCTCCTCCTCCTCCTCCTCCTCCTCCTCCTCCGTTTCCTCCTCCTCCTCCTCCTCCTCCTCCTCCTCCTCCTCCTCCTCCTCCCCTCCCCTCGTCCTCCTCCTCCCCCCCCCCCCCTTTCTCCCTCCCCTCCCCCTCCTCCTCCTCCTCCTCCTCCTCCCTCCTCCTCCTCCCTCCTCCTCCTCCTCCTCTCCTCCTCCTCCTCCTCCTCCCTCCCCCCCCCCCGGGGTCCTTGGCAAGGACCCCCGGGGCCCCGGGGCCCCAAGGCCCCAGGGCCCAGGACCCCAGGACCCCCAGACCGCGGGACCCCGGGACCCAAGGACCCCCGGGACCCCGTTGGAGCCCGCCACATCCAGCACCGGGCTGGCGGGCGCGCGCAACGACAACGACAACGACGACGACGACGACGACGACGACGACGACGGTCCGCTCAAAATCGGTCCCAGAACCTGTCCTCTTGGAATATATTCCAGCCTGGTGCCAGCAGGTGTGCCCTGTCGGGCCCCCGAAGCC